GCAAGGCTGTTTGATATTTCCTCAGAAAAGCTGGTTCACTAGTCCTCAAATGGCTACACAAACCATATTTTAAAGTATATATTAAAAGGTCAATGCATGGATAGGACAGAAAAGAGCTAAACTCTGGAATTCTTGTTGGAAGAGATTTAAAGACAAACTGTCAAGAGGGGATGGAAATAGATACACATGATCCTCTACATCAGTGGTTCTTACAATTTTTGTACTAGGACCCATTTGTAAACATCGAGGGCCAGTCCCAACCCATTGCCCCACACTCCCAACCTGCTGCCCCCCCCTCCCCTCCGTCTGCAGACCCCACAGACCCCAGTGTGTGGGGCAGAGAGGCCCCAAGCAGCCCCTTGCAGGCTAGAACTCAAACAGCCTGCAAGAGAAAAGCCACAGTTTCCCATATTTTTCTCCTTTAAAAGGAGAATCCATTTTTAAAACTGGTTTGTGACCCTTTCATATATTCTTGCAACCCACTTTCAAGTCATGACCCATGGGTTGAGAAATGCTTCCCTATATGATGACCTCTCCAAAATATCCTGAGTTTGGAGAACTTCCAAGAGGTTCCTAGAAGTTTGGGGCAGAGCCCCCACCAGCAGTCAGAGCCCTTACATTCACAGATGCAAAGCAGAACCTAGAAGACATGCGGTCTTCAGTCCCACACAGTCTACCTGAGGGGAGGAATATGTTGAAGCCACGGATGCTGGAAGTCCAATTTAACCCCACAGATTTTGTACCTTTTACAAGTGATATGCCTTTTATTTGTCATCACATAGTTTGAAAGTATGCTGCACGTCTTAAGATCACTGAAAGAAAAAAATCTATAGTAGCAAATTTTAGAACCAAAATGGAATATATAAAAAGGTAAATGGCTATACTAAATGTGAACCAAGTTGCCTAAGAAGGTTATCTTGTATTGCTTTAAAAACTTAGTTAAAAAACACTAAGATAATGAATTCATGCATGGTCTTCAATCTCAATCCTATAAAGATGTTTAAGTAGCTGTAACTCGTATGAACATACAGAGTCCCATCTGAACCAAGAGGACTACTCATGTGAATAGCTATTCATTTGATTAAGTCATTGTATTTGGATTTGTGTTTAAAAGCTTTCTTGGACTGACCAACCATGACAACAAATGACAGTCAAGAAATAAGAGTATAGTTTATGCCTATGACAGCAGTTTACAGGACTAAGCATTTTTTTCTTTACCCACTGTGAAGCTATCACTGACATGATACACCAAAGACAACATGCCAGAGGGCAACAAAAATCACTAGAGTCTGTTTAAAAACAGCATTCAACTGTTCAAAATAATTCAAAGCACAAGAAGGGCTATATTTGGGACAAAAAAAAAATCTTTATCAAAATATTATTTTATGTAGCATACAAGTGCTTTTTCTTCACTGGAGCTTCACTTCCACTCCACGTACAAACGTCCATTGATGAAGTAAAATGAAAGCACCAGTTTCTGCACTTCAATGCTTATTAAAAATAAATAAATAATAAATAATATAATAGTATTCTAATTATATAAAAATGCATAGTGAAAAAGGAGGCCTACACATGGTGAGAGTCCAGATAAATATCCAAGATTAAATTATTTTGTAAAATCACTGATAAACTAACTGGCTGGAGGGCCATACCCAGAGAGTGGTGGTGAATGGGTTGTTTTCGACCTGGAGGGATGTGGACAGTGGGGTCCTCCAGGGCTTGGTCCTCGGACCCACACTGTTCAACATATTCATCAGTGACTTGGACAAGGGGGTAAAAAGCATCCTGTTCAAATTTGCTGACAACACTAAGATGTGGGGGGATGTGGGCATGCTAGAAGGGAGGAATAGGCTGCAATTGGACCTAGACAGGTTACAGGGGTGGGCAGATGAGAACAGAATGGGTTTCAACACTGACAAGTGCAAGGTACTGCACCTGGGGAGGAAGAACCAGCAGCATACCTACAGGCTGGGGAACTCCCTTCTTGTCAGTACAGAGGCAGAAAAGGATCTTGGAGTCATTATTGATGCCAAAATGAACATGGGCCAACAGTCTGGGGACGCGGTCAGGAAGGCCAACCACACCTTGTTGTGCATTCACAGATGCATCACAAGCAGGTCCAAGGAGGTGATCCTCCCCCTCTATGCAGCACTGGTCAGGCCGCAGTTGGAGTACTGCCTCCAGTTCTGGGCGCTGCACTTCAGGTGGGATGTGGACAGCATCGAGAGGGTCCAGAGGAGGGCCACCCGCATGATCAAGGGGCAGCAGGGCAGGCCCTACGAGGAGAGGCTGAGGGACCTGAACCTGTTCAGCCTCCACAAGAGAAGGCTGAGGGGGGAAATCTAGTGGCCTGTTACAAACTAATCAGAGGGGACCATTAGGCTTTGGGGGAGTCCCTGTTCCCCCGAGCACTACCAGGAGTGACTAGAAATCAGTCACAAGTTGGCAGAGGGTAGATTCAGACTAGATATCAGGAGGCACTACTTCACAGTCAGGGCAGCTAGGATCTGTAACCAACTTCCAAGTGAAGTGGTGCTGGCTCCTACCCTGGGGGTCTTCAAAAGGAGGCTAGATAGACACCTTGCTGGGGTCATTTGACCCCAGTACTTTTTTCTGCCATGGCAGGGGGTCGGGCTTGATGATCTGCTCAGGTCCCTTTCAACCCTACCAACTATGAAACTAAGATTACACAGAAGAGATAAGGTAGCCAACATTCAGTGGGCCAGTTGAGTTTATCAGTGCTCTGGAGAAGGCGTCTGACCAGGACACTTGCTACATGTACAAACACAAACACTTCCTGCTTTGCCATAGCATTGTATCAAATCTTCTCTACTGGACCTATTGGCACAGGCCAGAAAAATATTTTCTCCTGCTCATCTTTCTCCAGTTAAAAAGGAACAAAATATGACAGGGCTTTCCCTTTTACTTATCTCCAAGTTTGTCTCTGGACTGAGGTTCAAATAAGAGAGAAGGGGTTGGGAGAAAGAAGGACAGTCTGACAGACTACAGTTTGGCATCGTCTTTAAAACCTTCTGCTAGGAATCACAGGAATCCAAATTCTTAAAAAAAGACTGCTTCTGTCCAAAAAAAAAAAAAAAAAAAAAAAAAAAGCCTCTCAAGCCCCCCTCCCTACCACTAATTCAAGCCTCTAACTTTCCCGAGACCCACTTCCTACCACTAATTCAAGCCTCTAACTTTCCCGCTCAGGGCCAAACTTTAAGCTATTAAATAATGAAAAATAAGTAATAGCAACAAACATGGCATCATATATCCAGAGATCACAGTGATGGATGGCCTTATGGAAAAGCTTAGATATCAGTTTAAAACATTTCCTGGGTATCCTCTGGAACTATTTTTTCTTCTTCATTAGGCAGCATTTATTATTGTTGTTACCCTCAGAGCCAGTCAATAGTTATAAAAGATTATTTGCATATACACACACACTGCAGTTGAATTCGCAATGGATGGAGCCCTGCTTCAATGCCCTTCTAGGTTAAAGAAGACATTCTTATTGCCTGAACAGATATTGGATGAGACTCATTGTCAGACATTCTATTCTGACCTTGCTATTCTTCTAGTATTCTTTAAAGGGGGGTTTTTTTGGCTACTTAATTTTTGAGTAAAAAGAGCATCTTTCAACATTACTAAGTGTGGAATTAATCTTCATACTTAAAATCACTGTGAAACACATACTGTTACAGAGCAGTAAGTTTTAGAAGAATTGTCATCTAAAGATCTATAATCCTGTAAAGCATGAATTCAAAGTCAGAGGAAGTTCTTAATTTTTGCTTCATAATGCAGCAGAAGATTACACACTTCTCCCAATATGATCACTGGTGCATTTGTTTTGTCAGAATAATCAAGAGAAATCTACTTAAAATAGAGAATGTTCCATTTAAATTTCAAGCTCTATAGGTCAGGTTAAAACTGTCCCAGTAGATTGTATAGATTGATTAAAAGTGGAATCCTAAAACCATTTTAGACATCTTCTAATTAAAGCTGCTGGCTACTGCAAGAGTATTAGTGTCATACAGTCATTATCTACTGTCCACTGAGAATTTCTATTTCTGGTTGTGAAAGAAAATATTTCCCTATACTCCTATATGCCCATATAGGATATCAGTTTTACAAGCTTCAGTAGCAATTTTTGTATTATTTACATTACATTTCTTCATGGACAAGCATGCAGAAAAGATAAATAGAAGACGATTTACAGAAAAAATTACAAACCAAGTTAGGTAAGTTACTCTTGCCAAAGATTTCAGAATTTAATAACTAAATGTTGGGAAGGAGTTTACCTCTTGTTGTATTATTGTTTTAAATGTTTACTCTTCTGACCTTAATAAATTCCTTACTTCTGCACATGCACACATACACTTAGGTATTTCCTTGCAAAAGTCTGTCCCAAATTCCACGTTAGAAGAATGTAGAAAAATCATTACTAGTCTGAAAATACCACATCCCAGAAACTGAGAAAAAACCGTCAGAAAAATATTCTCATTACAGAACTTTATCAAACCTTCATATGTTAAACTTTTTACAAATGCACAGATCTGGGGATGTCACAGCTCCTTTGCATAATAATACTTCTTGTCGTGATACTGATCAAAGTAACATGAATACCACTGTAACTATGATGAAAACTACATCTCAAGTTTAGGTGGATTGTTTATGTACCTTGGTGGGTTGGTTATGCAATACAGAACCTGATTATCCTGTCAATTACACAGGAAGAGCAAGAGAATAAATCCGATCAAGTCAATTGACTTTTACTACTGTGAGTGTGAAGCGAGGTACTCTTACAATGATCACTATATACTATCCCCCCAACATCCCCCTCTCCAGCAATTATAGAAGTTCTTCCACAGCCCTAACAGAATACTACAGTCAGAACTGAAGGGAATGGGGAAACCCTTTTGACTAAGTTCTCAAATAAATGTGGCATAGTAAGTTTTTTCATAATTTCATATTTCTAAATAAGCCTGTTCTACTAAAATTAGGTCCTGAACAAGGCATAAAAGGACACTTCCTGAGTGAGCAGAGAACGAGTGAATCGAGACAGCAAACAGGGCAGTTTCCTGGGAGCAAGAGAAGGAAGAGGAGTCAGGCACCAGACACCAGATCATGCTGCAGGATGGTAAGTGAGCCAGGACTGCCTGTATTAGGCTTGCTGAGCATTTGTTTGGTGGCCTGTGTGTTCAGCTGTGTGCTCCGAGCACCTGGGCGTGCTACTAGCAGAGTGATTTCTGGGCGATTGCTGCCTGTGCCTGACAAAAGCCCTAATGGGGTATAAAAGGAGCCAGGCCCAGCAGGGTATAAAAAGGAGACTCCCTGAGCGACAAGGGATAGTAGACAGGACAATTTGCCACCTCCCCCTTTCTGTAGGGGAGCCTTTAAGATTAACTCTTTAATTAAGAGTAGCTAAAAGACTCGTGAGTTAGACCAATATTTAAGTCCCTTGTTTAGGAAACTCCCCAGTGAGGGGGTATGTTCACTAAGGAGTTTGCCTGGAAACTCTCTCTCACCTTACAGGCCAGATTACAGGGAAGCTCTGCTTGGAAAAAAGAGCAGAAAGAGAAGCGGTAGATTAAGAGACCCAGAGAAATGGTTGGGGTACATTGCAATGCCAGAGCCACTGCTGCTGCCAGCTCTACCTCTGCTTTCACCTGTGAGGTGTCCGTCCAGGCAGGACTGCTTACAGTCAAGTCTTCCACCCAATTCCTGGCTTGGTGCTGTAGACTGCAGCTTGTAGGTTCTTTCCAGTGACAGCCAGGTAAAAGGAGTGCCTGTGATGCAAGTGGTGCCTCCTGATTATTGTCCTTCAGGGAGCAAGCAAGGAGGAGGTGGCAAGGCTCTGAAGCAACCTCCATCATGAGGACTTCATTGATCCAATGCTGGATGAGACCTCTAAGCCTGCAGAGGAAGTACTGCCAGAGGCAGCACTAGATAAATAAGATGACGTGGACACCCAGGATGGTGTAAGTTGGAAGCTTGTGACCTCTGGCAGTAAGCAAAAGTCTTCATCTCCATCAAGATCACTGCCCCCAAGAGGAAGGGATGATTGGACATTCCCTTCTTTAGGCAACAGAGAGATTCATCTACCAGCCTGACCAGCTATCTCAGGAGATCTGCTGCTTGCTGGGAGCCTGGATCTAAAACATCATGGATGGATTACCAAGACTCATCTGGCTGCTTATCCATGCAGGCACCAATGATACTGTCAAGTACAACCCTGAGCAGATCAAGAGCAACTAGAGGAATCTGAGTGCAAGGGTGAAAGGGTCAGGGCTCAGGTGGTGTTCCCCTCAATCCTTCAGGTCAAGGAGAACAGCCTGGGCAAAAGCAGGTGCATTCTGCAGATCAATGATCGGCTGTACAGATGGTGGTACCAGCAGGGCTTTAGCTTCTTTCATCACAGGATGTTGTTCCAAGAAGGACTACAAGAAAGAGATGGGACCCACCTGACAAAGAGAGGGAAGAGCATTTTCACAGACAAGGTCACTACCTTAAGGAGGGTGGCTGTAAGCTAGGTTTACCAGGGGAAGGAATCCAAAGTCCTAAGGTAAGTGGGGAAGTGGATTAGTGTGCCCCAGTTTGGGGCAGGAGTGGCCATACCAGCCTGACTGACTTTCAACTGGATGAAACAGTGAGACTCATAAACAGGCATTTGCAGATCTACTGTCTGTTCTATCTTATATCCCTCCTCCTTATCTTCAACATAAACAGGCTACTTAGAGTCTACAAAAAAATACCAATTTCCAAGAGACCTAATGGTGCACCTAGGCCAAGGTTTAAGTTGAGAAGGCAAGTTTGGAGTGTGGGGAAAGAGCTGAATAATGAAAGCTTTGACATGGAGGAAAATGGATCCAGCAATGGAACACCATTGACATCATTAATAAGTTTGTTATCCAGGAGCCCACATTTAAACCGCCTGGCTTGGCTTTACTAAGGTGGACCTGGACAACGTTGAACCAGGATCATACTTGACAAGGTAGATGTAACTACTTACTGTGTAAAATGGAATTTCATTAAAGACCCCATGTGCTAGTGTGGAGAAATACCAACTATAGCACACATTGTGGAGGAATGTCCTATTTATCATTTTAATGCTTGCGCTGAAGGCCTGCACTGGGCTACTGACAATACCTTCTGATGGATTTCAAAATTATGAGCTAAAGCACAAACAAGGAAACTTTCAAAACTGGAAAACTTGGACAAACAGTTAGGAAGAAATAGAAAAGCCTTGCTCAGGCACGCAGGAGTGAAATCACGAAGGCCAACCAGAGTTGCAGCTAGAAAGGGACATGAAGGGTAATAAGAAAGGTTTCTATAAGCATGTGAACAACAAAAGGATGATTAAGGGAAGTGTGGACCCTTTACTAAGTGGGGGAGGCAACCACTTAGTCTCCTACAACATGCTTTCAAGGAAGCTAAAGAAATACAGGTTTGGATTAATGGGCTGTAAGGTGGATAGAAAACTGACTGGATTGTCAGGCTTAAATGTATCATGTATACACCAGGCTTAAAGTGTAGTAAACAATGGTCTGATGTCTAGTTGGCAGCCAGCATCAAGTGAAGTCCCCCAGGGGTTTGCCCAGTATCTTCACCAGTGACCTGACATACGGGATGGAGTGCCCCTCAGCAAGTATGTAGATGACATCAAGCTGAGAGACTTTGACAAAAATCAGAAGATTGGACCAAAATAAATCTCATGAGGTTCAATAAGGACAAATGCAAAATCTTGCACTTAGGACAGAAGAATCCCATTCACCAGTACAGGCTGGGGACTGATTGGCTAAGCAGCAGCTCTGCAGAAAAAGGACCTGGAGGTTACAGTGGACAATAAAGAAGATGAACATGAGCCAACAGTGGGTCCATGTTGTCAAGAAGGCTAATGCCATGCTGGGCTGCTTTAGCAGGAGTGCAACCAGAAGATCAAGGGAAGTGGTTCTTCCCCTCTATTCTTCACTGGTGAGGCCACTTCTGGAGATTTGAGCCTCTCACTACAGAAAAAGCTATGGATAAAATTGGAGAGAGTCCAATGGAAGACAACAGAAATGTTTAGGGGGTTGGGGCATATGACCTCTGAGAAGAGGCTAAGGGAGACCAGGCTCATCTGGTCTGCAGAAGAAGATACTGAGGGGGGATTTAATAGCAGCCTTCAACTACCGGAAGGGTGGTTCCAAAGAAAATGGAGTTGGCTGCTCCTTGTTCTGTCAACTGCCACCACTGAGAACAACCATCTCAAGTTGCATCAAGGGAAACTTAGGATAGATATGAGGAATTTCTTACTAGGATGGTAGTAAAGCACTGGAACAGGTTACCCAGGGAGGCTGTGGAATCTCCATCCGTGGAGGTGTCTAAGACCTAGCTAGACAGAGCCTTGGCTGGGATGATCTAGTTGGGGATGGTCCTGCTTTGAGCAGGGGGTTGGACTAGATAACCTCCTGTGGTACTTTCCAACCCTCATTTTCTGTGATTCTATTATTGCCTACGTCCACACTGTGAAGGGGGATTAGGAAGTCAGTTGATAAAGCAGAGCAACTAGTTTCCAACAGTCATTAACCACAGTCCTAGTACCTGATCACTCATAAGTGCAAACTGCAGGCATAGCTCCTGCTACACACTTCATCATGTTCTCATATCACAGACGAAGCAACAGAAGAAATATTTAAAATATAAATTCGATACTTCTTCAAAGTTTATAAAAACAAAGATTGAGTGCATGCAATTATGACTCCCTCTAGTGGCTGGTTTAAGTAGGTATTGAAGTCTGTTACTGAACTGCAAAGCAAAGAGACACTTCATTAGATCATTAGTGCTTTTAGCTTTGAATGTGTCCGGTATATTCCCTTCCATAAGGAGGTGAGCCCTACACTAATGTTTTCTAGGAATAATGCATTAAGTAGTGATTATTGGCTCATGAAAACAAAAAAGGTTTTAAAATCTCCTAAAATTTCTTGATCCTGGTTTCTCTATTTTCCTGAAAGTCACAGGGTTTCTGCAACTGTCTTTAAGCTCCCCTCCCAATGCAAAAATAGCATTAATCCAGTCAAGGAACAGAAATAACAGGCTCCAATTCTTATGAGTAATCACAACTAAGAGGGCTGAAACTTGGAACCAAGTTGAACATTTACAAGAAGATCATGTTAAAGACCAAATTAAATGAACATCATTAAACAATAGAGGAGGATCTTAGAAAGCTGAGGCTAGAGCCAGTGACATAGTTCCTGTTCGTTCACAAATAAACCCAGTTGTTTGGGAAAACTACAAATTTACATTGATTGTTATACAGTTCTCTGAAAGCTATAATTAATATGAAGGCCATGGAAGGTACGAGTAGGTTTGGGTACACATCATACACTGATCCTACATGAGCACTCTGGGTTTTATGTTAATAAAAAATGCAACCATCTGATTCTCCATATATGTTTACTGTTTGTCTCACGATTAAGAAACAAATATGTATTACAGTGTAGCTCTGCTTCATTAAGTGAAGGGGTTTGGGGTTTTAAGCCTCTTAGCAGAATCAAGCAGGGATAATGTCTACTAAAAATATGTTATTTTAACAGACTGTATAATAGCTAAAGACCTCCATACCTTTTTAGAAGCATTTCCTGTCTACAGTAGATTTTCAATATAAAATTGAATTTAGGACACTCAAAGAAACAGCAATGTTATATCTTAAGAATTAGCACTGAGCCAGGATCAAAGGAATTGGAGAACAACATCACAAAGATACTACTATATGCTGAAGACCTAGCTAGTAAGTTTACTTCAGTAAGAATGTAGGCAAGTAGTTCTTTATTTATCAAGATGTAAGAGGTTTCCTTCAGCTTTTTCAAATTGGTTAGTCCAGGGGGGGGAAAAAAAGTAAGCAAAGAATGCAAACACTTGGAAGTTAGCTCTTTGGATAAGCATAGAGGTATTCCCATAGGTTTACCTAAAGCCCTGGAGTGAGTAAAACTAAATCTCAGGTTTAGCAAACAGTTGAATTATAAATACACAGGGAATAGGCACATGAATTACAACATTAATTATTGTCTCATATATGATAATTCCCAAACAGAACACAATGCAGATCACTGACTACTTTGTATTGATAGGATAATTCAGCAGATGTCCATTCAGCAATGT